AACTGCCATAAATCATTACAGAAAAAGTTAGCAATTGAATACACAGTTGACGCACAACTATCTTTTCTTATCTGTCACGAGAATCGGAACATCGTTTCATTGATTACACAATTATACACTATCGAAGGAAACTTGCTTCCAACACCAACGTTTGTCGTAATTGTTATTTTGTAAAATAAACATGTTACGTATCATGCTATAATACAATTCGCTATAGCTGCGTATCGTAAGTGCGCAAACGTGCGTATTACTCCCAAGTATTTACATAGATAGACGCGTACGCACGTGTGTTCCCCATTCGGACGAACAGAAAAACATTTCGCAGAAACGTAGTAGCAAACATCGTGGTAGAAAGCAGAATAAATCAAATAATCCGAAATACAAACAAGCGTAAGTACAAAGCCGGTGGTGCGAAGAATCATTGAAATCATCGATTCAACGCGTTACTTTGTATGGACGATAGGCTTGGCCGAGAATTTGTGCCGATTGCTATTGAAATAATAATCGAGTGAAATAACAGTTGCTCAGCATCGTGAGGTATATACGGCAACACCTATTCTGCGAGGCAGCAAACGATTACGGTCTCGTGAAGCGATATCGGTACGGTGTCCAGGCGAGTAATTCTATATGAAAAGAATAGATATACGAATATATAGTATGCCAACAACGTGCTACGTACGTGGTATTAGTACATTCTTCTACGCATGTGTTGTGCTCAGGGCATGTGTACGTTTACACAGTGCATAACGTTATCGCGTCCCGATACGTCATTTCATTCTTTGCAAATTGTAGGGAAATGAAATTGCGGAGAAACAAGCGTACGTGTTCACACACGTACGTATGTAACTTGCGTGCACTTTCGTTGAAAAAAAAAAAAAAAAAAAAAACGAGTATCGAGATGCCATCGACGATACGCGATGTGTCGAATCGTGTCATTGCGAATAATCGTACAATGTAAGAAACTACACACGGATAAGTTAGTCAAGCTAGTCAATGAACGCGTAGCCAGTGTAACGACGCGTTGTCACGCATGCTGGGTGATGTTTGTCTCAGAGCTGTTGCACGATAGCTGCAATACTACAGGATACGAAGATGAGATGCAAGTTTAAGCATGCGTTTGTCGTGTTATTTTTTCGTCATTTTTTTGTCAAACGAAAATGAATGAAAATGAACGAGGACGTCGCGCGATCTCTTCGTTCTCTTTCTCTCGACATTTCCAATTGAACTTTCCGCGTCCATCGTCGACGTTGGTTTGACGTACGTAGGTAAACGTCAACTCAAAAAAACTCAAAAAATGCATATATCTCGATAGAACATTAGAACCTCTGCAGAATCGTCAAACGTTGTATGAAAATAAAATTATATCCCTCGATTCGTAGTATCGTATCGATATCTCGTACTACGTGCACGTGACGTAAACATTAAAGATGCACATCGATATCAATTTTCGATCGATAAATACAGAAAACTATCTCAACGTTCATTTTATCGTTCGTTATCAATCGTCGTTATCCTCCGAACGAAGATTCTCATTCAATCGAACGATAGTACGATGAAAACGACGCGAAATAAGAAAGTCGAAACGAAGAGGAGACCGTCCGGTAGACGTAACATCCAAGTTTCAAATTTCTCTCGGAAATTTATCTCACTCAGAACTCGAAGCAATACACGCGGGCATACTTTCGAATAAAAGTGGCGATAAAAAACAAACAAATTTTACTTCTCGTCCTCGAACATGAAATCACTTACTGTCAATGTAAACGATACACACTACCATTCATAAATATTCGACCGATGCTGCGGATCGATTTAATCCTC